TTCCAAGTCTTTTGAAACCAGTCTCTATGTTTGTGGAACATCTGTGATTGATCTCCTTGAGTTACCTCTGTTACTATGGCAGCCATTACCACTAATCCTCTCTGTTTTAATGACCTGTAATCTTGGCTTCTAAATTGAAGCCAAGATTACAAAGTACATAATCTACCGTTCAAAAGGTTGGGTCAGAAGGAATTAAAAAAAAAAAGAATGCTTTTATTTAGCAAGGATTCAGACATTTGTAATGTTGCCTGTGACAGAAGACTTGAGCATGCCTGTTTGCCATCACAGGAATAAATTAAATATTAAAATATATTAAAACCATAGACAGTTATTTAAATAAATTGTAATCATATTTCACATTATTAATATTTTTATTGTATTTTTGATCAAATAAATGCAGCATTGGTGAAAATAAGGGATTTGTTTCATAATGAATAAATAAGTTAAATAAATATCAAAAATCTTACTGACCCATGACTTTTGAACAGTGGCGTATATCCTCTGTCACCTTCAAGATTACCTAATATCCCATTTTGTTCTGCAGACATAATTCAAGTGGATGTTGCACATTTTATTTTGGTGCTGTTCACCTTAATGGCTACCTTGAAGGCTTAGTTGGCTTGAGTGTTCTTTGTCTCTCTTATCTATCAAGCTATTAAGCTCATGAAAGCAGCCCATATGACTCATATTCCAAGTCTTTTGAAACCAGTCTCTATGTTTGTGGAAAAACTGAAATTTATCCATTGGCAATCTTCACCACTGTAGCTTTCAAATGCCATTCATGTTCACATTGTCATGGATAATATAGCATGTCAAAGGTTTGACTTCAGTAATGCCAAACGTCATTGGTTCATGTGTCTCATAACCAATTTTCGTATTCAGAATTGGCCAAATGAGATTTGAGAGCTGCAGTGGAGTGTGTTTTAGCTTTCTGTTAGTCACAGAAGGAATATTGGAATATATGGGTCATATGGAGCACTTTTATGGTGCGTTTTTTGACATTTTTGTACCTTTGCTCACGATTGACTTTTGTTGTATGGAAAACAGCAACATGAACATTCTGCTAAACATTTCCTTTTGTGTGCCACGGAAGAGAGCAAGTCTTAAGGAAAGACATGGTGGTGAGTAAATGATGACAGAATTTTTATTCTTGGATAAAACACTTTCAGCAGCTTTAAGCTCTCCCAACTTAAAAGACATTGGTTTCATGCCATTTTCTAAATTGAAGCCAAGATTACAAAGTACATAATCTACCGTTCAAAAGGTTGGGTCAGAAGGAATTAAAAAAAAAAAGAATGCTTTTATTTAGCAAGGATTCAGACATTTGTAATGTTGCCTGTGACAGAAGACTTGAGCATGCCTGTTTGCCATCACAGGAATAAATTAAATATTAAAATATATTAAAACCATAGACAGTTATTTAAATAAATTGTAATCATATTTCACATTATTAATATTTTTATTGTATTTTTGATCAAATAAATGCAGCATTGGTGAAAATAAGGGATTTGTTTCATAATGAATAAATAAGTTAAATAAATATCAAAAATCTTACTGACCCATGACTTTTGAACAGTGGCGTATATCCTCTGTCACCTTCAAGATTACCTAATATCCCATTTTGTTCTGCAGACATAATTCAAGTGGATGTTGCACATTTTATTTTGGTGCTGTTCACCTTAATGGCTACCTTGAAGGCTTAGTTGGCTTGAGTGTGTGAAGCCTGGGCACAGCTCCTGTGTCTGGGAGGTTCTCTCTCTGGGAGGGCACTTGGAGAAAGCTTGCACTGTCTGGGATCTTTAGCAGGGATACAGAGACTGTGGTGCAGTGTGTATCTCCAGCAATCATGGTGTGCTGTGTCTGTATTGGATGTTACCTTGTACTAAATCTGCTCCTGCTTGGAATGAATGTGGAGGGCAAATGGAAAGCCATGGTAGGAAACAAATACATGTCTTTCCTTTTAACTGTGCGTCAATTCATTATTCGTTATTAGATGGTCAGATTTTGTTTGGATGTTTGCGCAAGAATTGTGTAAAACAACATGAAAAGGATTTTTAAAAATATATTAAAAGTTGTTTTATGATCTGGTTTTATTGAATTATCTGCTTATGTATTCTAAAGACAAAAAGTGCAAATGTATATTATCACATTGTATTGAGTTTAGACAGCTCTTGTATAAGCTGACATGTCTAAGCTTTCAGAAAGGTGAGTTTAGAGATCTTTGTCTAATCGTTCATTAATAAGTAATGGAGACTTTCCCATGAACATGTTCACTTGCTGAACAGGGATCAACTAAAAGGGTAAATGGGTTGGAAACTGCAGTTTGAATGGAGGTTATGAAGATCGTAAGACACCAATAAAATTGGAGGTCAACAACATGTTAAGTGAGTGTTTTGGTCTAGATAATCTGATTGACCTGAGGTGCTGAGGTCATTAGTAGCCAAGTAAACTGAATACTGTCTAGTGTTCTTCTTCTTTACCAATTGCACCCTGATTTCCTTTCTGATGAGCCACAAAAATGTTCCAGGTGACTTTCTTGATGGGAGTGTCAGATTTGCCCAGCTGGGTTCCTCAACAAATGACCTGCAAGGATTTCCCTCATATTTTACCAATTGCACCCTGATTTCCTTTCTGATGAGCCACAAAAATTTTCCAGGTGACTTTCTTGATGGGAGTGTCAGATTTGCCCAGCTGGGTTCCTCAACAAATGACCTGCAAGGATTTCCCTCATACCTGTGTCTTAACCATGATTTATGGCATCTCTCTTTCATTATTCACTGTTGGGTCAGCTGTGATGAACACTGATAATATTCTGCCCAGGGCCTTGAGTTCCAAACTCTGACATTGTGCTTCATCATTTTCCGTGAAACATTTGTTTATATCTGTAAACCTCCAAACTGAGTTAGTATTTATGACCTTCTCACTGGCAGATGCTTTATCTGATACTGATGTCTCAGTCGCTTTCAGTTTTAGATCTTTAGCATTATAGACTTTCAGTTTGATTCAGATTTATTGACATTGTCAAGTACAGTACAAAGCCAATGAAACTGCATCTAACCAGAAGTGTCATTGTTAAATAGAATATAAATAAATGATGGTAAACCACAAATGACCGTGTAGTGCAGATGGCCAGTGGCCTCAGCAAGTGTGTGGACACTTTTGGATTCATAAGTCATACTTGTAAATGTTTTAAATGAATTGCATGACAAATTTAAAAAAACAAGTGACATCTGCAAACGATACTGAAGCTTTTCCCAGAACTAGCTTCACTTTTCAGAGTAATTTTTGTGACTGTTCAACAACTTGTCCCTGGGTCATTTCAGTAGATGTATGAAGTTACAGTAGTTTCCCTGGGGTTCACACAGATGTTGTTGTTGTTCACACCTGCTTAAAGGTGTATTTTATTGCAGTTTGACGACCAGGAAAAAAAACTCTTAAACTTTGTCTCTATAGCCTTGCAAACTTATTTTTGTAAAATGTTTTGCTTAACCCTTATGCTGTGTTCGGGTCATTTTGATCAGAAGAAGCTTTTTCCTGAAAATGGTAGTTAATGTTATCGCACTGGACAAAAACCTGCTACCTGCTCACACAGGGTATATAACTACTTCCCAAAATGTTTTGGATGGTTTTTGTACTTTTCCCCCACCTTGTTACACTTTTGGTGTTCCTGGTCAAAAATGACCGGCCTACAAAAATATCTTATCAATTGTTAAACTATATCACCAAATATTGGATTCAATCTTTTTGTCAATTCAATGTTTTCTTTCAATTAGGGTAGATTTTTCTATTTCTTTAAGAAACTGATTGATCTTCGGCCTCTTTGATCCGAGCTTATGCACTAATTTGTGGATAATTTTGTCCATTTTAAATAAATGTTTATCACACTAGTGAGCTTAAATGTTTAACCAGGAAGTTTGTTTTGAAATGGTTTTATCTGGTACGAAATGGCACAAAGTCACAAAAATGACTAGCCTATAAAAATAGCTTATAAATCTCTTGTTACGCTTTATTATCACCAAATATTGGATTCAGTCTTTTGATCAACTTGTTGTCTTTAAATTAGGATAGATTTTCTATTAATTTTTGAAACTGAATTAATTTCTGAACCCAAACTTTTGAACAATAGAGTATGAGTAAAATGGAGTCGCATTTTTGGTGTTTATTGTAGAAACTATAGCAATTGAAACCTTTAACATGGAATATGCAGAGCATCTACTCACTTCCTCTCAAACATCCCACTGGCTGATCTTCTGAACAAAGTGTAATTGTGTCTTGTAGCATCTGGTTCTGCTCCAGCTTCTCTCACAGGAGTTGTTCCAGTGTTTGGTACAGTTCTAGCCAAAGATGTAACCTGTAGCACTGAGGAGGGTAAAACAATTATTTGGGGAGCTGTGTCACCCTTGAGAGGATCAAGTGTCCCTCTCATCTGAGGCAGCCGCCTTACAGTGTTAAGTGCCTGACTGCTTTTTCTCTGTAGCTTATTGTTAGAGAAAGAGAGGAGGACAGTAGGATGGAGCCTCTGGGTCTCTGAGCTCAGAATCACGTGTAGGCCATTGCCTTATCGCAATTGATCGTTTTTTCTGCTTTGTGCAATATGCACTTCATTTTTATTGTACCTGATTTGGTGATCATCTGCCACTTGTTTTTGGTTTAAAATGGAAATGCAAAAAGGGTGCTCAACTCCATCCTGTCTGGATGTTTTGGATGCTTTTCTCCATAATTAGATGAATAACTGCTGCCATGATCAATAAAAATGTACACAATGTGTACCAGTTAAGCAGCACCGACTTTAGGGAATAGGGTGCAAACAGTTTGTGCTGAAATGGTTACCAATAAAATGATTTAAATACCCGGAGTGCAACATTATACCCAGTTAAACTGGATTGCAGATGATTAATGAGTATGGCATGTTTTTGCTCTGAAATATTTAATGGATTATCCCCTTAGCATTTTGTTAATGTATCTTGTTTGTTCTATCTCTTATTTTTGTTCTCTTCCAGAACTCCAGTGTCTCTTCTAAGAATGAAGATCTTCGTAGTGAATGGGACGTGTCGTCTGATTCGAACAGAACTTCAAAGCATTCGGTTCGTGGCTTTGTAGTGGTGGAAGAGTCTGACCTTCTCACGTCTCCCGCTGTCAGCACACATAGCAGGTATAAGGACACCGGTAAAAAAAATATACAGTCCACCACCTTCAAATCATCAGAGGAGAACTTCACCTCTCAAAAACTGAAAGCAGATTTGGGTGGAGGCCGTCTTGAGCGGCTCCCTTTCAATCCCTCTGGGGACATTGCTGACCTGGATTCTATTTTGAATGTAAAGACATCAGCTGGTCAGAAGGATCTGGTCAGGCCTACAGTCCATCCTGAGTTAAACCAGCTGATTGAAGAAGGTTTCTTACTTCCTTCAAAGGGCTTCGAAGTAGATAAAAAGCCTTTGGTCAGTGTTCACTCAAAAAAAGGATATGAATTGCTTGTAGGCAAAGGACAAGCTGACTACAAGCACTCAAGCAAGAAAGGAGTTGCATTTAAACATGGTGATGTTATGTTAGGCATGGATGGAAGGAGATACCGGCTCCTCAGTGGACCTCCAGGGCCTGTTGGACCACCAGGGAGAACAGTGAGTTACCACAATTAAATCGTGATGAAATAATGTTCTCTTCCATGATTTTCTTCCAATAATATATGCCAAATTGGAATCTGAATCCAAAAACTTGGAAAAAAGTTAGAAGTTTATATGCATAGTATCATTTCAATACATGCCATAGAAAACATAAACTAAGTTAATTATAGTGGTGAATCTCTTTTCAGAGGGATAATGTATAGAAATAAGTACATTTGAATTAATTAAAGTAAAAGTTTTATAATTTTACTGGTATATTCTTTAAAAAATAGTCCATTTGAATGTACAAAACTATTGGCCAAGCAATAAGATGAACATTGCAACAAAATTCCAGTAACCTAAAATCAGTACTGAAGCCATTTGCACTACCTGTGATGACTGGGACACAGTTGCTTTTGTATGAAACGATAGATGTGAAAGTAGCATCATTTTCAGTTGGGAGCAGACTGAAGGCACAGTCACATTAGTGAAATTTCATCAGCAAAAAATGGCCCACTGTCAATAGTTTAGTGATGCACAAAGCTCCGCTCACATAGAAGTCACTTTCAAACCAAGGTTCATTCCGTTGGTCAACATGGCAAATTTGCATGAAAAACTTTAACCATATACAAAATATGTGTGGGGAACGGTTTCACCCTTCACCAATGGAATATTTTGTAGGAAATATCTAGCCACTAAATGCTGCGATTTGACCAATCAGAATCAAGTATTCCAGGATGGAAAACTTCAGCTTTTCAGTCTTAAGAAAAAATTGAAACTAAAACAAGTAGCTACTATGATGTTAGTGCAAATTAAAAATATGTCATGTCTTTTGTGATTTACAGTAGCTGTTTCCCCCCTCCTCCTTTCTGTTGGAACTGAAAACGTGCCCAGTTTTCAGTTTGCAAAACATACAGTGTTTGTTGTTTGAGCAAGAAACAGAATACTGAATTGAAGTCACATTAAATTGCTAGTCTGAGAACTAATTCTTAATCTCACTATGTATTCAAACTTAATTTGGTCATTGGAAATACGTCATTGCCGAAAGCTGAATGTTATGTAATCTTTACATCTTTTAATGGAGTTTAGACGAGCATTCCTTTGAATATGCTTCACATCTATAACCAAACATTACTACATCTGCCCTTTTCTGAATGATAGCCTTTCACTATGAGACCCAAATATAAGGCTGTAGTGCTAAATGTGCACTTTGCAGAAGGTTAGAGGTTTGGCAGCACTCTACAAATTGGCATGTCTAAGAGTGTCACATTACGTAACATACATAAGATTAAAAAGGGCATGGACCTGTAAATATTAATTGACTCGAGATTCAAAGTCTTCTACTGTATCTTGATTTCCATGCTTAAATTTGAACATGGAAACCAATCCTCTATAAACTAAGTTTGATGGTTGATGACAGTAGCTTTGCACATTGCTGTGGTTAAATGCTTTTTATAAATGCCAAAGTCCCATAAATATTCTTCATATGCAGGGCCCTCGGTTTAAGATTGCTTTTGTTGTTTGCACAGGGGTGCGCAGGCAAAAGGGGCTATATTGGATACAAGGGTGATAAGGTAAGGAATTTACATTACATTATAATATTCGGTGATTATGGGATCACACTGATTTGTACCTGTATGTCGTTCCAGGGTTCTCAAGGAGACCAAGGAGCAGATGGGCCAAGAGGCATACCAGGACCTCCAGGTCCACCAGGACTCCCAGTCCTCTACCTTTGGAGGAACACAGAGGAGGATTGGGCTGCATTTAAGGTAGGCCTTAATACGCCATATTCTGGAGAATTGTCTATCTATCTGGTAAATCTCTTATAGCTTAGGCTTCCCTAGGTTGGCCATACGTGCCATTTTTACGGGACATGACCTGGCCAGGATTTGTATATTGCCTAAAATATCCCGGTTTTGCTTTGTTTTCTTGATTTCATACTTGCTGGAGGTAATGATCGAAAAGTAGTTTGACCAATAACGTGCAGGCATTGTACATAATCGACGATTGGTCAATTGTCAAAGGTGGGCTCTACTGAGAGCAGTCAAAGCGATGCAAATACGCGCACATATTAGGAGTGTTCATTCGTTTCCTTTGACATAAAGCGGCGCTGCGCAGACCGATCGTTGTATGATATCAAAGTACCGTGAGAGCGATACGAAAGCACAAGGAGCCGCCTGCTCTCTCTCTATCTAGATAAATTAGTCGATCATCCTGCCCATCCCTACCAAACATGAATATATAGCAGTGAGCCACCGCCCTGTGTCTCTCAAACTGCTGGATGACACGGTCTTTCTATGTTCCTGCCAGACCTTTTATTCTCTCTATTTGTGACTCTCTATTTTTGAGCATATATTTAAGTATAATTGTAAAACCTCAGGTTTGACCTCCTTGTAGATTCTCAGAACTCAAAACGGTTGTGAATATCTGCTTATTATGATTGTGCAGCTGCAACTTGGCATTATTTAATGTTGTGTGTGTGTATGTGTGTGTGTGTGTGCGCGCGCGTGTGTGTGTGTGTGTGTGTGGAGAATATCTAAATGTTGTTGTATGATTGTGCAGCTGCAACTTGGCATTATTTAATGTTGTGTGTGTATGTGTGTGTGTGTGTGTGGAGAATATCTAAATGTTGTTTTTTCATCATCATTTGGCAGAATTCTCAAACATGATGGATGAGTTTAGTCCTCCAAAGAGGAGTCATGTGTGTGTATATTGAGCCATGGGTGGTAGGTGAGGGAGTTGTACCTTTCTTAAGACTGTTTTTGTGATTTGTATTGGGTTTTAATATTTTTTTCAGGTTTCACAATTTGAAGTACTTTCACTTGAGGGGTAATTTGATTAGATTTGATTTGATTATTTATATGAAAAAGTCATTACTGTATGTGAATTTTATTTTAGCCCAGTTCATTGTGGAAATTAAGTGCTTCAATATGGAAGGTCAGATTTCATATGGTGTAATGTATAATTTGGCTATTGTTTAGGAAAATGAAGTCAATTGTACATATTTTTGGCAAAAATGATTATCCCAATTTTCTATGTAAATCTTCACTACATGTCATTTTTATTAAATAAATGACGGTTTAACCTCTTAACTGTCACTTTACTTCACTATATTACAATTAAATCCTAATTTAATCATAACAAACTATATATCGTTGGAAAGGTCTAAGACTCCTAAATAGATATTTTACCATAGTTTTTTTTTTGAAAACTTAAAATCTCAAAATTCATCCTTTGAAAACCATTTTAAAATCAGACATTGCATTACCATGAAAATGGTACATCAAAATCATTTTACAAAATGTTTTCATTCATGTCTATGTTCAAAAATGTTAGTGACAATTAAGGGGTTAAATATTTTTTTACCTTTTTTCTCAGATTTTTTCACTATGATCAATGATAAAAAGGCTTAGGAAAAAGCCTTTCTATCTGTTTCATCTCTGATTTATATAATTTGTCCCATAGCATATGTCATGTTTAGATGGATGTGGCTGAATGGGACTGATTCTCTGTGTATTCAGTGGTGATTAGGGATGATTTGTCATTGAAATATTATAAACTGAACTCTTACAGACATTGTTTGTGCTGATGGTGCTTTGCTGTTTACCCAGTTTGCACTCTGTAGAATGGTTGCAGTGTTGTGAGGAGGTTTTGACAGATGTTTAGATCCCTCTGTTTCAGTGGGACATGTGGAAGGCAAGTGCACTGTGAGGTCCGATTCCCGAACTTCTCTCAAACTCACCTTCACTGGACCAGCAGTGAGCCGAATTCTGCCCTGTTGCCAAATTGAGCATTTGCCAAGACAAATGTTGTATAAAGCGGAGGCAGACTGGGTGATTTAATATCAGTGTGACAGAGACTGTGTGTCTATGTGGGTTCGAGGCCTCCGCTTTTCCAGGCCACACTGCAGAGACAGCGTACACTGTCTCTCAGTTCTTCTCCTCTATTTGAACAGGAGACATGCCTTTCAGCACTCTTTTTGTTTGTGTTTCTTACAGAGAGGAATTGAAACATACAGGCATTAAGTGTTACAAGAGTTTAGATTGAGGATTTGTTGTTGAGCAGTTTTTTTTCCTATTAACACCAGTCAGGTACAGAGCTTCCCATCATCTCTCGTATGCGGTCTGAATTGTATTTATGCATTCATGCATATGCTGGGTCTGAAACCACTTGTTTGTTTGCTCATTTAATATTCGTTACATAGTGAATGCCACATGTGGGAGTAAATGAGTCAATTGAGACGGCCTAAACAGTCACAAAACAATAAAATAAATAAATACATTTAAAAAATGTTTTTAAATAAATATAAGTAATTTTTGGTATTGGTATTTTTTTATATTTGCATTGTTCATTTTAATTTGAGTTTTAGTAACTTTGTTATATGCTTTTGTCATTTTTATTTCTATTTTAGTTTTAATTTATTTTAGGTTCAATTTTAGTGATTTTTGTAATTCATCTTAAAACTTTTTTCAGTTAGTTGGTAAGGCAATATTTCATATTTTGTATGTTTTTCTTTTATTTTATTTTTGTAGAGAACATCTTTTTACCAGTTGCTGGCAGCTGGATGGCCAGTAAGTATTTCAAATTAGAATACATGAGCAAAACGTCAATATAGTATATGCATGTGGTCTCTCACTAAACCCTTTCCCTCTGATGTCCTGCAGAGACAGACAGGACACCCTGGACCAATGGGTGAGACGGGGAGACCTGGTTTACCTGTGAGTACACACTCAAACACACAGAACACTTTTAATGAAGACTGAATTGTTAGAGAACCTGTGTTGCAGGGTATGAAAGAATTTTACTATGACCTCCAACTATATCTTTGACTAGTGCTGTTTACTGTAGTATGATGAATGATGAAATGGTTACAGACAGATTAGATTTGAGTGCCTTTGGTTTGGTATATACAGTATTGTGCTTAATTGTTTTATTCCTGAAGGGGTTGCCTGGAGACCCAGGTCAGGCAGGACCACCAGGCCTAAGAGGCGAAATGGTACCTATTCATTACAATATCTCTGTTTTTGTGTGTGTCTGGGTATGTATGTGGGTGTGTGTTCATAATAGCAATGAGAGTTCAATGGTATCTTCAGCAACAGTTAAATGTTACTATGAGGTATACACTACTGTTCAAAGGTTTGGGGTCAATACGATTTTTAAAATATTTTTATTTTATTTTATAAGTCTCTTATACTAAACAAAGCTGCATTTATTTGATGACAAATGCAGCAAATTCAGTACTATTGTTATTTAAAGTAACCGTTTTCTATTTAATATGTTAAAATGTAATTAATTCCTGTGATGGCAAAGCTGAATTTTCAGCATCCATTACTCCAGTCTTCAGTGTCACACGATCCTTCAGAAATCGAAATCATTATATGTGTGCTCAAGCAGTATTTCTTATTATTATCAATTTTCATAACAATTGTGCTGCTTAATATTTTTGTGGAAACCACGATACTTTTCCTTTTTCCTTTACAAAATTATTTGATGAATAGAGAGTTCAAAAGCACAGCATTGTAACAATGTAAAAGTATTTACTTTTGATCGGTTTAATGCATCTTTGATGAATAAGTTTGAATTTCTTTCAAAAGAAAATCTTACTGTCCCCAAACCTTGAAAAACTGGTGCAGATTTATGCAAAGTGCCTACAGGATTTAGTTACAAGCAAACACTTTATAATAGGGTGGCATTGGACCAAAGGGTGTTCGAGGCAGAGCAGGGACTCAAGGAAGAGACGGAGAGAAAGGTCCAGATGGGGTGACGGGATCTCCAGGGGTTCCTGGCCTACAGGTGAGACTAAGGGCATGGGATGTCTGCAGTAGCTTTTTTAGTAGTTGTAAAAGTTCAAGTTGGGACACTAGTGTGAATATGGTAATGTTTTCGGATAGATTGTGGTAAAGCTATGAATTGTAGCTGTGGAACATATGAACTTAAATTGCAGAAAACAATATGTTGTATATTTCTGGTTGTGGCTCAAGGGTCCTCGCGGTTACAAAGGTGACACAGCGCCCCCTGGTGAGAAAGGAGATGAGGTACAGTATGAGGATACATAATATTCTGAAATGCACGACCCTGTAACTGCCTCATACAGGATTATAATATACTTAATATAGTATAAAGCAGTTTTCTGCCTCCATGAGCAGGGTTTTCCTGGTGCTCCTGGCCTCAGAGGAGACAAAGGACAGACTGGCCTGAAGGTAAAGAAAGCCTTCAACTGAAGTATTTATGATGCATTTCATTTGTGTGTACTGTTTATATATAGAAATTCAACACCTATACTGCCCCCTAGTGAATCAGGAGGGGACACTACCATAAAAAGCATTATTTTCTATAGTTGTAGTGTAATTATTGGTTATGCCTCTGTCATTTTTTTTAATAGGGCTCAAAAGGAGAAATTGGGTTTACTGGCTTTTCTGGTCCTCCAGTGAGTAAATCAATTCATATTCTTGAACTGCTAGTTTTAAACATTATTACTAGTAACTGGTGTTGGTATCCTTTCTTATATTGTAGTAAATATTATGCATGAATGGTTTTCTTTTCTTTTAAGGGACCGGTTGGTTTACAAGGTGTTCAAGGGATTCCTGGACCACCTGGTCCTAAGGTGATTGATTTAATTGACAATTTATTTTTGTGTATTTTTACATTGATCTTGACAGTATAAAGAATGTTGTTTTCATAGGGGGATCCAGGAAATGATGGAAAACCTGGTCCTCCAGGGACAGTGGTGAGTCGTAAATCTTGAGTCATAAATCATGCTTGTGACACTTGTGAAAACTTGAAAAAAATAAAGTTCTTCAAACTGTGTTTCTTCTAAGTATAACTAACTATATCGAACTATAAAGTAGATATTCGTTATAGCCAAAAAGATAATCCATTTGGGAAAACTGAATGGGGACAGTGATTACTTCTTATTAACAGAGAAATCACCCTTATCCTGGTGTTTATGGATACTGCTTATGGATTATGTAATAATGCTCAGTTATGCGTTTGTGTCTTGCCAGGGAGCACCAGGTGCTACAGGATTGGTTGGTGCACAAGGTGTTAATGGCTCAGAAGTAAGTGATTGCTTACTACAAATTCAGTAAGCAAGTGTCAATTTCATTGCTTAAAGGGATAGTCTACCCAAAAATAAAAATTGTTATCATTTGTACACCCTCCTGTTGTTCCAAACCCATTTGACTCTCTACTGTGGAACATAAAAGAAGATGTTTTGAACACTGTTTGTAGCCAAACCATTTAGGTTCCCATTGATTTCCACTGTATTTCTTGCCCATACAATGGAAGGCAATGAGAACCAATGTTGTTTTCATTACCAATATTCTTTGAAATATTTCCCCTTATGTTTAACAGAAGAAAGAAAGTCATGTGGGTTAGGAAATGACAAGAGGATGAGTAAATTATCAAAGAAAGACTTGACTTGGTTATAAACCAAAACACTTTTGCGGTTACAGGGGGACGCTGGACCTGTTGGCGCTGTGGGGCGGAAAGGCCCTCAGGTATGCAACATTGTTTTGGTGTCATTGCTTCATGAAGTCTGTTCTTAGAGATTGCTCATAAGCTGAAATAATATAAAACCTGTCCTGATTGTTCCTCCTAGGGGCCTAGAGGGATCGAGGGAGACAGAGGCCCACCTGGTGATCCAGGATCACAGGTAAAGTTTATCATGTAGGCTAGCAATGCACATACTCCTACTCCCAATGAAGTAGAAAAACATACAAATATGGGTCTGTTGTGATATTCAATCAAGAGTAAGCTTTGTCATGATTGTTTTTTTCAACAGGGTCTTCAAGGTCAGGCTGGTCCACAGGGTCTCAAAGGTGACATAGTAAGTTTTAAAACTTTTTCTGTGTACATGTAGAATATGTACAATTACATGTGTTTATAAAATGGAAGCCCTAGATGTTTTTGTTTGTGGACAGGGGCCAGAGGGTCCAGCAGGTAACAGAGGGCTACAAGGCATTGAAGGGCCCATGGTGAGTCTGTTTGTCAATATATTAAATGTAATCTAAAGGGAAACATTTATACAATTCATTATAAACTTACATAGCAGACTTTCAACAACCAATATGGCCTTAAAGTTCCATAAAATTTTACCCAGCAATATTTTAAGTTGCTGCTGTGTACTGACAGGCTGGAAACATGCCTAGTTTATCTATTTTTGGTTTTGTACAGTAGTAAATCTATTTATATATTTTTTTTTTTGCTGATGATAATTCAGTTAGGAGTCAATAATTACCATTCATTCATTTAGGGTACAACTGGAGATCCAGGTCCAAAAGGCTTTCCAGGTGTCACAGTAAGATATCTGATTCAAATCTCACCGTATGTTTATTTGACATTTTAGTTAATATCTGTAAATGTATGTCCTTTATCATGTATTACCTCAATAATTAATTCCTCTAAATTCAGGGCAGTAGGGGACCAGATGGAGAGAAGGGTGACAGAGGACCCAAGGGGAAAAAAGTAATCTCCAGCACACAATACATTCAACACAATACATTCAAAAATTCTAAAGCTTTAAAATGCATAATTGGAGGATTCAAGAAATTGCCTATTTATGATTATACTGTATGTTTTTAGGGACCAAAAGGAGCATCAGGGATCATGGGTCCACAGGGTGAAAGGGGCCAGTCAGGCCTCCCCGGTTTACCTGGTGTCAAAGGTCAGCCAGGTGCTCCAGGTGTCCAGGTATACAGTTGCACAGAAGATTCCCTATGACATGCCTTACTTTATATTCTTTATATGCATATATGGCATAATCTTTAACAACTGAGGTTCAAAATAAGATTTCTTGGCAAAATACATTTGTTTTTCTCTCACCCTTTTTTCCCCACAGGGTATAAATGGTGAAGTAGGTCCTCAGGGAACACTTGGAAAAGAGGGTCAAAAGGTCAGAGTGCTTTATGACTTTCAGGTGGAACGATCACACCAAAAGCATTCTTGTAGCTCACCATTTTACATCAATCCACCTGTGATTGCTCCTCTAAAAATCGATGCTGCCCAAAGGCTCTTTCACTGTGTCCTACTAATATATGCACCTAAATCAATAACATCTCTTCCTTTTTTTTTTTTTGGAAACAAAGGGCAGCAGGGGTGAACCTGGTGATAATGGAAGAACAGGACTCAGAGGATCCAGAGTAAATTAGCTATTTGTTTCATATAAAAATCTGAAAAATCCTGAGACCACCAATGAAAATGCATCTACCTGCAAATACATCTAAAATCCATATATCATTTAAAAATTATATTACCATAATAACAATTTAAGGAAAAAGTCAATAATGGAAAAATTCACATGAATCACATTAATTTGAGAAATATTTATTAATTAAATGTCCAGTTTTAAATTCTGTCTCAGATTTATTCATATGTTTTGTTTCATGAATAAGCTAGATATTTAGCATTGTGTGTTATGAGTAAACAAAATGTAAGTGGTCCTGTATCGTTTGATCACATTCACTCACATAGTTTCTGTATGCTCAGGGTCGAGCAGGCCAACATGGTCCCCCTGGTGTACCTGGAATAGTGGTAGGGAAATTGAATTTGAGTAAACTGAGTCCAGATTTATTTGGTTCACGTTTTATTGAATTGATCATATTTACTTTGCTGTTTTTGCAGGGTTTACGAGGTCCAGTTGGTGCCGAGGGGCCAGAAGGAAAGCCTGGTACACAGGTTCCCATTTCATACATTTAATATCAAGTTTTTTTTTTTTTTATCAGTCATAGTGATTTATCATATATGAATCTTTGCTTTACCATTACACCAAGTACACCAAAGAAAGAAATCAAAATTGTGTTGATTTGATGTATCTGTCTTGCAGGGTGTTTCTGGTTCTGTTGGAAGCCCAGGGGATAAAGGACCTAATGTATGTTTCTCATCAACCAAAATATTCTATGAGATATATTAGTCAGTTGAGAGCAGACTGCTGCTATAATAAAAGCTTGTTGTAAAGACTGGTCAGTAATGATAGCAGATGATTCTTTAAAAGAGCTATTACCAACATTAGACCTCAGAAGAAGGAGAAACACTTGATACAGGCATGTCGAGGTCAGAAAGATCAGAGACTATTAAACTTAACAAGGTCTTAAACATGCTTTTGGGTTGGTCCTTCTGTCATGGAGGAATGATCTCTGTTTCAGCATGACAGCAAGAGCCTGAAACGTGTTTTGTAAGTGTTAAACTGGTAGACTGAATCATATATCTACATCTGTTTTATATTTTTGTGTACCTTTATAAATTCAATTGTCAGCGTAATTTTAGTAAGATGTTTAATTGAATAATCAGAATGAATTTCAGAATGTCTTAGTATTTATTTTGTCTCATTTTTGCTTTATTGACAGCAGCACATGAGCTGCACGAGCAAGTGTGTGTAAAACCTGATGATGATGTGATCCAGTATCATTTAAGAATGATCTAAAGAACATCTTGTGCTTCAGTGGAAGAAAGAACATTTTAATCTAAAAGGAGTTAACAGGGTCAATGTCACAAATTAGATTAGTAGCCTAGAAATAGTTAACAATCCTAAATATTTGTATTCCTTTTACATCAAACCATATTCATTGTGGACTTTTTTAGTCTTTCACTCATTTGTCATGTCATATATCATATATCTTCTGTAATATTTGTCATCTAAAGGGCCTGAAGGGCATGATTGGAGAACCAGGAAAACAAGGCCCTCCAGGCTCACAGGTGAGCATAACAACAGGACAAACAAGGACTGTGGAAAAATGAAAATTTTACACAGTAGTCAAACTTTGAAAAGTAAACCATTACAGAATTGTGATTTAAATTCAAAAGCATTTTCATTCTTGTTGATTAACATCTACTGAAAATGCAACTGTTCATCACCAGTTCATTGTTTCTCCTCTCATTAGGGCCCACCTGGACGACCAGGCCAAGATGGCACTCAAGGTCCTCCTGGTGAGAAGGTAAGCCTCTCAAAGTATTGTATTGCTGTAATAATGTAATTAATGCATAGTATTCACATATATCACCACTGTGTGTGTTTGTTATCAGGGCTTCACTGGAAAACCAGGCATTGCAGGTGCTCAAGGGCCTGTAGGCATGTATGTAAGTGGCACTATCCCGCATAAACCAGTTCGGACTGACATGAAAATTCATGACCGGCTTGTAGCAGCGATTTGATTCTATATGCTGTTTTCTTGCTCTCAGGGTTATCCAGGAGCCACAGGCCTTCGTGGACAGCCAGGTCACATTGGAGAGAGGGTTAGAGCTTTCTGCTGTAAATATTTTACTATGAATTTTTCTCTGATCATTCTGGATGTCGTGTCACATATATTGTGTGAATGTGCATCTGCAGGGTGAACCCGGCATCAGGGGTCCTCTGGGTCCACCAGGGCAAAGAGGTCCACCTGTAAGTTGATTTGAATGTCATCCTTTAATTATCATTAATGTTATGACATTTTGGCCATTTCTTCTCTAAAACAATTGTTACCTTGTTAACATTTTAAGGGTTTACCAGGCCCGGCTGGTGAGAGGGGCCCACGTGGACCACAGGTGAAGTAACTTCTCCATTCATAGAGCTAAATAATTCAATAGCACTGTTTTTTATATTCAGAGAGGTTATCAATAATGTTTTTTTAGGGTCGCCAAGGGGAAACAGGACCTGCTGGCTTGCGAGGACTGCCTGTACGTAGGCCTCAGTTTGAATTATACATTTAGATTTTTGAGAAGCAAAAAAAAAAGGAATACATCGAAAGTAATTAAAGTATAATAAGTTATTTTAAACTGCAATATTTCATAATATTTGTTTATATGTAATACACCATGTACTGCATATAATACGTAATTTTAAATAGTATGTGTATTTTGTATTGAAATGCACATATAATCATTTCTATATATTTTATATGAATTGTGAAAGAACCTGATTGCTTAATGCTGATGAACATTGTGCTTTTTATGCAGTCAGCACTGTTGAATGTCAAATGATCATCGCATTTGAGGAATTGTTGTTCATTACATGTTGTACACGTGTTTGTGTTTTTGTGTCTGTGTGTCAATTCAGGGGCCCTCAGGACTGCCAGGGATTGAAGGAGCAGCTGGAAAGCCAGGCCCCCCCGGTGACCAGGGGCCTCGGGGGCCACAGGGAAAACAAGGACCAATTGGATTGCCAGTGAGTGGGTACCCCTCATTTTGATTATTGAATTTTTAGGATAGTTTTCAAAGAATTTTAAGAGAAAGTTACAGTCTGAGATTCTGATCATATTCTGCTATTCTTCAGGGTTCACCGGGAACAAGTGGAATGGTTGGTCAAGCAGGAGAGAAAGGAGGGCAGGTATTGTAAGCATTTCAATTTACTAAAGCATGTTACATAGCACAGGATTAAGCATTTGATTTATAATGCTCTTCTTTAGGGATTGCCAGGACCTTCAGGTGACCCTGGATCTGTTGGATTGGATGGACCACAGGTTGGTTCATTTCAATTTATTCAGAATGAACTGCTATTAGGAGGCATCCTGTTTGAGTTCCCTGAATCAACTTCTTCTTTTCTTGGGCAGCTTACCAAAAATGAAAGCAACTTGATCTCTGGTTTAGTATGTTTTTAACAAAGGCATGAGAATGTTTTGAGATAAGGAACATAGCATAAGTGCTAGAGATTTTTGTTAAAAGTGTGATTCATTAGCTACCCCATCTTGTTTTAGTAAAATTAACATACAGTTTATTCACTCTTTCTGCTGTAGGGCCATCCTGGTCCAGTTGGTTTTGAGGGGCCAACAGGGCCAAAAGGAGAACATGTAAGTGTTGATACTGATTTAAATGCATCCATCAAAACCACCAAATCGGTCAGCTAACACTCCAGTGTTTTTCCAATTTAAATGATTTAACTAGGGTATTTGATTTTAGGGATCACCTGGACCCATTGGGAAGCCTGGTCTAAATGGCCATCCGGGAGATCAGGGACCTCAGGGCTCTCAGGGAATGCAGGGCGCACCAGGACCACGTGGCAAAGAGGTCAGTGACAGTGATTACATGAGGCTTCAAGTCTCATTATTAAGCCTTACTATGCTAAATTTGTGGTCATTGAGTTTTTTTAAAGAAACAAATGATTTTATTTAGCAAGGACTTCAAAAGTGACAGAAAAGACATGTATAATGTTACTAAATATTTTTGTAACATTACACATGTCCGTTGTCACAAAAATATTAAGCAGCACAACTGTTTTTTTTTAACACTGATAATAATAAGAAATGTTTGACACTGAAGACTGGAGTAATGGCTGCTGAAAATTCAGCTTTACCATCAGAAGAATAAATTATGTTTTAAAATCGATTGAAATAGAAAACAGTAATTTTTCAATTGTAATAATATTTCACAATATTATCATTTTTATTAGATTTTTTTGATCAAATGAATACATCCCTGCCCCGGTGAACATAAGAGAGTTCTTTCACAAATTTTTTTAAAATCTTACCGACTCCAAACAGTAGTGTATATATCTTAAACATCCTTGCTCTTTTAAAGTGCATTACAATAAATTATAATGAGTATGATGTTTCATATGTAGGGAGGTATTGGACCTCGAGGTGATATTGGTGACCCTGGGCCTAAAGGACAAAAGGTAAAATAATTGCACAGTACTAAGTAATATTTCATTAGATGAGCTGTAAAGGTCTATACTATGAACAGTTTCACAAAGTGAAGTAACTGTATTCTTCTTCAAACAGGGTGGCCCTGGACATCGAGGATTCTCTGGACGACAAGGCCCATCTGGATTTTTGGGGGACAGAGGAGAGAGAGGACTGAAGGGGAATAAAGGCTACATTGGACCACAAGTTAGTGATCCTACTGAGCAAAACCCATTTCTGTTGGACAGACCAACCTAACTATTGTGCACTGTTAATACGTAGTAGAATAATGATTGTCTCTTCACCAGGGTCAGAATGGATTGATGGGAAAGTCTGGTCCATCGGGTTTGATGGGTCTAGAGGTATGATTTTTATATTAGATGCACCTAAATCAACTTACATGATTGTAGTTTTTGACGAGAAACACGCTTTTGGAGTCGGTTGGTTGGTTAAGTTTATAAGTTGGCTTTTAATGCAGGGTTTGATAGGCCTTCGGGGACCACCAGGAGCAAATGGTTTACCAGGCCCAAAGGTATTGCTCCCTTTTCTTCCTCAGGTTTCTTTCATCAAGTTTCCTTGTAATAGATCAGGATTACTCTTATGCATTTCTTAATGTAACAGACCTGCTCTTTGTTTCATAAGGGGGAAACTGGATCACCTGGGGCACCTGGCCATTCAGGAGATCAAGGCAATCGGGTAAAATCAATGACTGTTTTCCATGATACAACAGTTTGGGTAAAATAACATTTGAATTGTGAACTGGGAACAAGACAAGAGATGCTGCATTTCTCTCACTGCCCTTTTTTGCATATATATTGGCTGCTATATAAGATTACAGGAACTGAGGGGAACCTCTCAATGTCAAATTAAAGTCATTATGTTTTTGTTTCATCTACAGGGAATAGCTGGGCAGAGAGGCTTACAAGGGGTTATGGGGAAGGCAGGACCTCAGGTTAGTTCGGCTAACCATTTCAAGGTAAATCCCGGTTACAGTGCTAGATTT